AATTAGGGGTGTGTCTAAATTTTTAGGGGGGGGTCAGGGGAGAGTTTTAATCATAGTGGAGTCGTTGCGAATTAAGCCAGGGGTGCCTTCAAGAAAACAAGAGTATACAACCTCCCCCCCCCCTAGGAAGTGTCTAGGGAAATCACTGCTCCTGAAGACCGCACGGGCTAGGTCCTTACCTCATCTTGCCACCCCAGTTAAAAATTCTCATAGGTCTCCATCGGAATTTTCCCATTGGTACCAGTTAGGTTTTCGGACAACCGATATTGGTCACTGCAGCCAATGGGAACCAATGGGAACCATTTGGAACCCATTCAGGTTCCAGCTGGAAAAGTAATTCTAGTTGGTGGGACCGATTGGCCAGTGTGCTTCTGGTTAGAACCCACTAAAACCAACTGGTTCAAATTAAAACCAGTTAAAATTCCAATTGGATCTAACGAAAATATTTAGCTGGGACACAGTGTTAACCTCCAAACAGATAGACTGAGGAAAGCGGGCTACTCAGAAAGCCTTCTGGCAAATACTCTAAAGAGGTCACATCCTCCAATGGACCTCCCTCTACACCTCGACCCCGCCGGAAACAATTAGCTGATGCATTCCGTACGTGCGCACAGCACTGCACATCGCGCCTCAAGGCGCTGACCTCACGTTTCGACATAGGAGTCGTCTTCATTTGTGTAAATTCAAACTCAAGCAGATGTGCTAACAGGTTAATACTTCTTCCCCTCCAAACCTCTGCCCCAAGAAACATGAAAGCAATTCGTTCCCTGCCGAAGAGAGGGAATCTATTCCATCCCTTTCTTTTGCGGAGGAGAATTCGGGCAAACGGGCCGATGCTAAATGACCACTTGAGAGAGCTTCTGGGAGGTCGCCGAACCCATTCAGCCGAGAGGGGATTCGGTGCACCTGATGGCATGCACATCACCACACATGCAAAGCATGTGCGCACAGGTTCAGGAAAACGTGCGTTCTCGGGTGCCACCTCAGAGATACGGGAGGGAAGTATAATTGAATCATTTGCAATAAAAAGAACTCCGCAGTCAATGTCTCTTCCCCCTCGCTAGCCCCCTCCGATGGGGAGATGAATTTTTTGCACCTGGAGCTTTCCGGGGGGACTGGACGACTTTGGTGAGCGGCCCGTCGCCAACAAGTCGACACACCGCTCCACCCTTCCCACCCAGCCTTCCTTCTAACTTCCCCGCTCTGCCTTTTCCCCCTTTCCCCAAGAATTCATGGGGAACAGGCAATCACACTCCATGAAATGAACTTTGTTGCAAGTTGAATGTGCTCGTCTGTGTTTCCTACTCTGTTTTATTCTTTCTGCTATCTGGTAGAACTGCTTTTTCTTCGAATAACTTCCTCACCCCAGAGCACTTAATGTTACAACTTTCCACTTCTACTACGGACGTGCTGGGTGCAGGTACCACAGCCGTGCAGTCAATTAATTTATTGGTGAAATATTCTGCGGAAGTTTCCATAACCCTAGGTGGAGTGATAGATGAATGAAAACACTGCAAGAGTATAGACAAACAGTGGCCCAAGAAAATTTTTTTTTATTTATTATTTTTTTGAGAAGGAGGGGGAGGAGGGGATGTGCTAAGATGGCTGGGATCTCTGACCTGGGGAGTAGAGGGGGAGCCAAACACATATTCGGGCATTGGCGGCTGAAGTTAACTGGGGCCAAAGCGGCACTGCGATGATGGCCGTGCCAAGGAAGAAATCATAGCAACATCCTATAGCACAGATGGCAGTGGGCAGCTGTGAAGTAAAACTCGTGCCACTAAAATGTTTTGACAGCTATTTGGAAATTGTTCAAAACATTGAAGAACCGTAATCAATTCAAATAACGAGTCAAATAAGGAAATATTTGATTCACTATTAAAAAACTGATGGATTTTCACATATGCCTACTTGGTTTTCATTGTTTTCATGGCTCTTCCTTTCTCCAACAACAAAAACAAGCAAGTCTTTCTTTGAGATGGCAAGTGTAGTTGTCCGTTTTTTTATCCGTTCCCAGTCTCATTTTTTTAAAATTATTATGAAGTCTTGCTTTACTCCCTAATCACTTCTTCTGCTAACCCCTAAGCTGAGCGATCGGTAGGAGCAATGCCCTTGCCGGACCAACTAATCTCGTGTTTTTTATCGCCTGGCCCCCCCTCTCTATGGTGGAACGTAGGCGTGAGCAAGAGTGATCACCGATCATGTGAAGAAAGGTTGACATACGACTGGTTCAACAGGGACGTAGCTTCCACCGATCACCGACAACTTAGCGGTGAACGGAGACCACGGAAACCCACCTTCCAAACTATATGAAGGTGGCCAGCACCCCAGCAGAGGCTATTCACTGTAGGTGGCCATATCAGTGTGTAGCTGCTCAGCACATGCTGACAGCGAGCTTCCACGGTGCTTTTGCAATGTGCACTCCACACTATCAAGACTGCCAGTCTCGGGAATCCGTACGTGCGAGCTTGTTCTGGGCATGCCCAGTGAACAGTGCACTCGAATATGGTGTCCGGTGTACAATACTTGGAGACAACTTTCTGTGTCATTTCCAAGGGAATTGGTGTACTCAGTTCTAATTGACACTCTATCTAGCACATGCCCATGTACCTCAGACTGCATAGCCGTAGTAAGTAACCACTGCAGAAGAACGAGTTATCTAGCCTGTGCTCAAGCTATTAATTTCCGAAACAAAACCTTTTTTTTTTTCAGCTGGTGGCAATGAGCATTGGAATCCCAAAAGAAACATGTTTATCCCACTGCAAAAATTAACTATGAATCACCAAGTGCTCAAAGTTAGCTCTAAAGCTCGTGCTAGCAGTAAGAACCAGATGGTAAAGCCTCGGGGCCTAGCATTACTTTATTCAAGTTATATTCATAAATTTTCAGCGAGGAAATGACCCAGTGGCAGACATGCGTACACACTTAGTAAGAAAAATCAATTTATTCGTCACTTTAAAAATTAAAAGGTAATTTGATAGTCAACGAAGTTTGGCATTCTTTAAGATTTAGATACCAAAATCCAAATATCTTCCTTCAACCACTTTCTTTCGCTGTTTGCTCCCTTATTCCTTTTCCAATATTGGAGCATTGGGTTTGTATATAGCAAACAGAATTCGTTTCATAGTGCAATAAGTGAATGTTCCTGTCCAAAATCAATCAAAACCAGAATATGACCCAAAGGGTTATTCAAGCGCAGTCCTAGAAATATGCCCATTCAGTGTACTAATCAGTATGTCCGAATCCGTTCCTCAGCGTTTAAAGAACACTTGCAAAGTGTTGCACCTGTCGGAGCAATTGGATTACGTCTACAATATGCAATTTCAATGTGAAAGCATGAACTCTCCCATGGAGCGAGCTGATGTCATCAGTTTGAAGCGCAAAAACGGCACCTATTTTCCTCAATCCCAAAGGAGCAAAGTAAAGCTGATGGATTTCGCCTTCAGTTCCATTGGCTGGCGCGCATCGACAGGTTTCCCATTTGCCGCTGCGCTGGTCAGTTTCCACGACCGCTCACCCCATGGCACTGCGTGTCCATCAGCGCACTGTTAACACGGAGCATCCAAGGTCAGCGTGCCCAGGGGAGCATGCGCGCTGAGCTGCGACAAAAAGTATGCAGCTGCAGACGAAAAAAGGAGCGGACGAGCGGCTTGCATGCTTTCGCATTCACAACTCGCAAGAAGTGCATATGTGTGCCTCAAGCTTTTTTTTTTTGCTACAATTTAGTGCAACACTAAAACAGCATCGTCAATGATCATAATTAGTGATGGGCCAAAGTTTTGCCGAGCTTTCTGAAATCGAAGACCGCAGATGAAATAAGGAAAACACACTAACGTCTCAATGAGCAAGGAGCGGAAGTATGCTGGTTAAGAAACATAATAACCTAAACCCCGAGACAAGATAAAAAATGAGCCAAGCAGAGTTCAAACCGAACACCGATACAATCAGTGTCCAACACACGCTTAGATTATGTGATCAAACTATAGCAGGCTCAAATCACCGACACAGCAGCTACTGGATGGCACGCACCTTTCAAAGGGTCTATTGAAGTTTTGTGCCATTTCCAGTTTAAAAGCATGCGACTTAAACCAGTCACCTGCTTGCTTCCCTTCCCTTTCTGGAATATTTGACAAAGGTTCAGCAAGTGGTATACGATAGTATCCATTTTATTAGCTCTTTCTGCAGCATAAATTGCAAAATAAAATCATTGTTCCTTTTAAATGCACATTTACCCCTGCAAAGGACTTCATTGAAATGACATGCAACAAATGTGCAAGTGTGCCAATCCAATTAAACATTGCAAGTGCATTCACTCTTTTTCCTGCATTTTTGGGGGGTTCACATGCAGTTCAGCAATGCCAGGCCATTGTTTAATGGGCAAACTCTAGTCCCATTTGCTGTTGCACCACAGAACTGAATAAATGAATTCAAGCAGTGCCTCACAACAGGGACACACTTCTTTCATGTAAATTGAATTTCATTGCTTCTGCAGCATGCTTGGAATGCTTCTTAATAAAGCTTTTTGAATTCTTGTGTTGCTGCATCATCTTAGACTCCAACTTCAACTTTAGTTTCTGACAAAATGAAGCCCCAGCCCGTACTGTTCCATGCACCAATGACCCAGTTCCCACATACATAGATATCTACCAGATTTTGTTAAACCTCAATCCGTTAGCTATAAAAGAAAAACTATGCAAAGGTCGGAAATTAATAGACTATGCAACCCACCTCCAGGTGTTCCCGGTATTGCACACGACCTGTGTCAAGGTTACAAAGACGACAGAAGGCTTAAATCTGAACCACAAAGTCTAGCCAACTAAACAGGAATGCTGCAAGAGGCATTATAATTTTGAACTCTGGAATGCACAAAAAAGGATAACCAGTAAATGAAAGGAGCGTATCAAGATAGGCAACAGAGAAATCTTGAAGACATATGCAAGAGTGTGACTACCAGCCTACAATGCTTTACTGATTCCCCAGAAAAGTGAACACAAGGCAGGTTTCCCCAGAAATTGTTTTATTAACGGGAGAACTCAGCATTTAAAATAAGATTGTAATTTCATAAAAAAACAATGAAATGATCCGTGGAGAAAAAAAAATTCAAGCAAAGGCAAGGACTAATAACCGCCAAGGTGGCCAAAGCGTCGCACACTGCCTTATATTTTTTTTTAAACAAAACAGGTTAAAAGCAACTTGTGAAGTTTAAATACTGACCAGAAAACCAAACTAGCTCAAGTCCCATCTTCCATTACACAATATTGTAGGAATGCCAATTTCAATAATTAATGGCAAGCTCAGAACACCCCCACACGTGCAAGTACAGAGTTCAACCTATATATATAACGAGACACTCGCAAATAAACAAAATTTCTATAAAGGATCACATGGAAAAAGACTCCCGGGGAAACCCCAAGTCAAATCCACCAAACCAGCTGCTGTCACACTTCGGCCGAAAGGCTGTCCCACTTCGAACAAAGGGTTGTCACACTTCGGCCAAAGGGCAGTTGTGGCAGAGCGGGTAGCAGAATCCTCAATGCAAAATTATGTAATCTGTTGAAAACGTTTAGTCTTGGTTACATGTGGCAGAGTCATTCACAACCGTGCACAATTCATTTCAAAATCTGGCCAATACCCACACACATCTGCCTGTTTATGGAGCTTGGATTGAAAGAAAAGGGGAAGAAAGGGAGGGGGGAGGGCCAGCCATCCTTTGGAAAACGTGCGGACGTCGTTTCAATTTGCAATTTCATTGTGTCAATGGATGCCGTGCCGTCACGGCGCGCAGCGTGGCTGCCACACCCACAATGTACACGTATGAAGGAGAAAACAACGTTAAAGAACCAATGGCTTGGGGACTTCCCACGGGAATTCTTTACGTCCGAAGTGTCCGTAAGCACTCGTGCTCTGGTAGATTGGGTTCTTGAGGCACAAGTCCCTGCAAAAGAAAACGGTCGCTAAGTTGACGTGAGTGGCCGGTCACGCTGTTCATATTGAGTTTTCCGGCTTACATGATTTAGCTACAACTCAAGCAATTTCTATGAGATCTGATTTCTATGAAAAATTTCAGTTAATGACACTTATGTGAATGAAGTAAAATGGACAAAAGCCACTGAGTGGTAAGATAGATATATGCACATGAAAGACGCATGTGGTTGAAGACTTCCCTCGTGTTCCGAAAAAATATATGGGGTGTTCACGAAATGCAGGTCAAAATTTTCTTGTAAACACTACGCAGAGTACAATACAAAGAAAGAATGATGCCATACTGGTCGTTTAGAGCATGCTTAGAGTTTGAAATAATTAGCTGAAAAAACAAATTTTTAGTTAGCAAAAATAAAGGTATGGTTTTAGTTTAAAACTTGGTGGGCATCATCAGAAAACACTAGCAATTACATCAACCTACACAATGACCCACAAGTCTCTCGAAGCTGGAAGAAACTGAACAGCATTGCATATTAGAACAGCAGTAGACCCTAACTGACATGTTCCCAGTCTATGTGTTTCTTTTAATGTCATGCTACCAACGCTGGTCCCATTAGGCTCCTATAGATTTCCGAACAACTTCCGATTTGCTGCATCAGACTTCTTTATTACGAACGAGTCTCGAAAGGAATTCGGGCTTTCCCAGCAGAATGCTAACCTCTCCTTCTCTTCCCCCGGCAAGCGCTCGTGTTTTGACGCGGGGGGTGCATCTGGGTGGGCTCGGTGGGCTTGGAAATTTTGCTCTCTCTTATAGACCGACATTCCTGGTTTGGTATGGCAAAGGAAAAAAAAAATGCAAACCAATATTGGAAGCGGAGCTCGGGCACTTTGGAATGCCCGGGTGTACCGAAAATGTATACCCGCAATGCTACAAAGGCACTGCCAAAGCCGACATTTGAGTTTTCCCGCACAGTCCAGCAGGGTAATGTGGCCTGTCGTATAACTTCCAAGTCAAGCAGGCAATCTATAAAGTACAATATTTTGTTAGTTTTGTTTTTTAAGGTGACAGCTTTACAAAAGACACTTTGCCGAGATTTCGAGCTCGTGGGCTGTCGCCACTGCTTTGGAAAAACCCTTCTCTCCCCTCGACGTGAGGAGAGGGAAGTCGGGTCGTTCGGTCGGAAAAAGAAGACGGGGGAGCCCCGGAATCTTGCTAGTAACAACGCGAGAAAGGGAGGGTCTTCCTGTCGTCTGCCTGAACACTTGTTTCCAAACATTACTCGCACTGCACAGAATCCCACTTTGGCAGTATCCAGTTGCTACGCGCAATGTTTGATGGTTTCAGAAACTTCCATTGCGCTTACCCACTTACTTCGCATATCACCAAGCACTGGTGGTTGTCACCAGTGGCATCCACGACGCCTACCACGACGGCCATTAGGATTAACCACGTCACACCACCGTCCTCGATACGTGAAAGTACCATTCCACCCGCGTTGCGTGACTGTGCTACAGCTATTGCTTTCATTTCTTTGCACAATGTAAAAAAAAAAAAAAAAAAAAAATCGACCTTTTTTTTTTTCTTTTTTTTTTTTAAAGTTTTGCTGGTGTGAGTTTTCTAAGCATTCATTTCGTACCGTCAAACTTCTTGCTACCCGCCGAGAACAAGCTACACAGGCCTCAATTGCAAATTTGGCGTCATGTTTCGAGCGTTGCCTGTAGAGCCTTTCAGCCTCTCGGACAAAACCTAAAAATTTAATAGCCTTGCAAAAAAAAAGAGACAACATTACTGCGACTCGTAATATGGGTTACTAGTTCAGATGTGTCTATTAATGCATTGAATAAATTTTGAGGCAAACTGGAGACCATAGAAATTTTGCCAGTCTCCCCTTAAAGTCGTTTATTATATATCGTAAAGTTTTACTCCAGTCCCCTGGAAAACGCGTCGATGGTGTTCAACCGCAGTTTTATTGTCAAGCTTGAACCCCACTCACCGGATGATGACTCCTGGTCGCAGATCAAAGTTTTTCTTGACTATGTTGAGGAGTTCCTTCTGAGAGTACTTCGAAGTGCCGTAAGGCAGCACCGTGATGGACAGGGGCTCTGCTATGCCGATGGCGTACGAGACCTGCGAGGAAACAAGTCCAGTCATCGCCACCATCGTCGGTCGGCACGCCGCCACACGAGCAGTGATGTGATTGGCCTAAGCCGTTTTGGAGCACCTTTTGGAGCAGCCACAATAGTGTTTTGGAGCAGCAAAAATGGCCTTTGGAGCAGCCAAGACAGTGTTTTGGAGCAGCAAAAGTGGCTTTTGGAGCAGCCAAAACAGTGTTTCAAAGCAGCAAAAAGTGGCTTTTGGAGCAGATATTTTAATACAAATAAAAAATATTTATTTTAAGTGCTGGACAAAGGAAGGGCTCTTTGGTCGCCACAATAAGCAAATTATGGTCAAGTTAGACGACCTGGGAGTCTTTCAAGTTGTTAACTGAAATGTCAATGACACAACATATTTTGCGATGCTTCAGTTAAATGACATATATATATGTGGCCACTATAGATAAATAAGAACCAAATTGCACATATTAAATTTATTTGAAAATGACCAGCTTAGCAGTAAATATGAAAGCATAAACTTCACTAATTATATAATAAATTGAAGCAGTATCCAACTGATGAAACACGTAACTACTGCAATACAATACGAAACTGTACACATGAAAAAGGTGCAGTACGACTGGTGGGTGCTTTTCCTTTTGCTTGTTGAAACTTTCTGCAAGGCTGCTGCAAGCCTCGCTTAGCTTTGGGCAAGTAATGAATGTCCACTTTCAATGTCTCCAAAGAGACGTTGAGACATCCCACAAGTGTACAGTGCTGTAGGCCTTGCCGAGCAATTTCAAAACGTCACACACCGTTTTACTGGTTCCCGACATGCCAGAGTTTCGTCAGAAACAAGCAAATGTAAAGCAATGGATTGCAAGCGTCCCGGCTGGTGCCTCTGTCGTGCAATCATGTTCGCATGCACGTGAGGGCAACTTCGACAGCTTGCAGTTGCACGCGCTTCGTTATGCAAACGGAGACTGCTGTTCGATCGAAACCGAAACTCTGCCACTCCGCTCAGTCGCCATCTGGTCCCCAAAATTGTATGCAAAATGTAACAATCCAGCATAAAAAAAAAAAGAAAAACAGTCCAGCGGCGCGTGCTTGCAAGGCCAGTATGCGAGGCACAAGCTAATTTAAAGGGTTAAAAAGCGCAAACAAAACAAGGACAATAAAGCTAATAAAAAAACAAAAGAAACATGAGCGCATCAATGCAAGACATCGCGAGTCAGGGTCAAAAAGTTCTTGGAGCGCTTTGTGCAACAACTGAACTCAAGATAAACAAGCGCGCTGTGCGGGTTCAGCGTGCAGACATTGCTTTTTTTTTGCTTTAGCTAACTTGTCTTAAACTTTCTTTTGCGACAGAGTTTTCACGTACCGGGGTCCCTCTCAAAAGAAATCCCACCGAGAGAAACCTAGGTAAACAGTACTTCGACACAACAGTCTTCGAGCTAAAGGGATTTTTGTAGTAGCGTTTATTTAAACAAGGACAGGATTGCTGATTATCCTGCAGCGGTCCTTACGTTTCATTTTGAAAGCGCCATATCTGCAGCAATGTGTGGACGGGAACACCCGACGTCATAACCACGGTGACTGGTAGGCAGAGACCAAAAATAGTTGTGCCACGGCCGTTTCTTTCAGAAGCGAGTGCTTCAGATCACAAGTAACTCCCAATGCGCAAAAACGTGGTTTCGTTTTACAACATGACGGCATGGCTGGTACCCGGCAAGCTAGCGTTGGGGCGTCCATATACGCCTGCATCTATCGTTAAAATATTTCAAGAGGATGCGAGACGAGACCCACGAGAGCGCGAAATGAGGAACGGCGGGAAAAACCATGCGAGACCGGATGGACGATTGGTGCAGCATACTTTCTGTCGGGCGGTCGCTTGCGCCACCTAGCTCACGCATGCTCAATTACGGTACTCAGTTTAGTTTCGGTTTTGAAAGGCGACCGAAATTGGTCCTTTGGCGCAGGCTTGGCGCAGATTACCCATATTTCGGCGGAATGTAGCAGGATGTAGCAGGGTTAGGCCCTTGGCGCAGTTTGGTGCAATTGGCGCAGCAATCACATCACTGCACGAGGCCGCACAAAACGAGGGCTCAGATATTTGTAAACCCCAAATGTCAGTGGGTTTACCCAGAGCCTCTCGACGCGTTCGTGTCTGTCTAGAGGCTAAATCACACGCTTTCATTTGACTGTGGCTGAGCGCGTTGCGATCTCGCTTACGACGAGAAGCCACGCCGGTGCCATCTATCTGGTGGCCCTGGAACATTACTAGTCTGCGTTCACCTCCTTGTTTTTTTGTGTCATTCTTTCACAATGGGCTTGAGATGTTTTCTGACGACGTTAGAAGCGACCGTTTCTCGTAGATGGTGCGTACATGTGATCTCACAAGTGGTCACAAAAAATTGCGACGCACACGTTTACAGTCAAATGCAAATGTGCGAACCGGCCTTCGTAAGTAGCAACCAATGTGTCAAAGCACAAGGTGCACTAGCCCTTGGAAGCAAATGAGGGCGCAACACTCGCTCGATGCATGTGCCTCCCGCGCCTGCACAACCATGTTCGTTAGCACCTATCAGAAACGAAAAATGTGAATTATATCGAGGCTCACCTTAGAGACCCAGCAAAAAAGATTAGAGAAAGCTATGCTGAACGAAATTCAGAAATAGACTGCGTAGCTCTAATACCGTATTTGCACGAATATAACGAGAGTTTTTTTTCGAAATTACGTGCTCCAAAACGCACCTCGCGTTATATTCGGAATCGAGTTCAGCCACGAGGCGCGCGAGTCTGGAGAAAGCCAGAGGAGAAAGACATCCCTCCGGCTCAATGCAAAATATCCGGTGGGAAAAGAAGTGGGGGTGTGGAAGGGAATTTATTAGCTATTGGGCCACGTGAAGGGGAGAATAGAAAACATAAAAAAGCATTTTTATCGCTTTTGTGTTTGTACAACGCGCGCACGCCGCAGAAACTCGGCGCGCGCGCGCGTGCGTCATGCGGGCACTGGCCAATTCGAGCCAAGCCAAGCCAAGCCGGGCCGAGTCAAGTCAACACAAGCCAAGCCAAGACCACCAACCGCGTTTACGCAATCGTGGAACACGAGGCATTTGTTTATGCAGAGGGACCAGAAGGAGAAGTGTGATCGTGTATCAGATTCAGTAGTCTTTTTTTTCTGCCTGCACATTGTTTAGTTTCTGCTCCAGAATGATCTGGTGTTTGTGTGTTGGTGCTTCTGCTTCGTGCCTTGTTTGGATTGTGGGCTGCCGAGGAGCTCGCAAGAAAAGAGAACTAACAGACAAGCAGGTGCCGTGCTGTGCTGCTGCTTATCTGCGTAGTGGCCAAGTGGATTGTAAACGGAAGGACCTGAACTGTGAGGATGAGTGTAGTCAAAACATAAACTGATATTTCTTCTATTTCCATTGACTTTTCGCATCTGCTATGCCCCCGAGTGCGGGAAATGGACGCGGCCTCGGTTCGCGTTATAATAGTAATAATATTTTTTTTTTCTTTTTGAGGGCATCAAAACCTGCCCTCGCGTTATATTCGTGGTCGTGTTATATTCGTGCAAATACGGTAACTAAGGCCATGAAATCGCCCCCAAAAATATTTGTCTGTAGTTGCGTAGGACTTTTTCCGAGTAGTTGACAATCAGAAGCACTTATTTTCCCTCGTGTGCAAAGCATCTCGTGACACAAGCTAATAAGAAAAACAAGCATAATAATGTCACAAATGACGAGGTGACGAAACAAAGAATAACTGAGGAAACTGAAACGTTTAATGGGGTGTACTTGTGCCCAAAACAAAAAGAAAACGGAAGATAGCAACAGACCGTTGCGGGCATCGAAGTCGACGTGACAGCATGATTGAATGCCGGGGGTGAGACTGACTCTGGCTTGCCACTGAGCACCTTTGGTAGCCCCATGGGCTTCTGGAACGTTCGGCCTACAACATTCGGCGCGTAGAACATTCGTAACCCAATCAGACGAGAAAGTTCTCCAATTTGCAAGAACAAAAGGTAGAAAGAATGAATAGAAGAACATTCCGCTCCCTGGAATCGAACCCAGATTCTCTGCGCGATAGCCAACCACGGTACCATTCGGCCACGTACGCGCTCGCCCAGCGACGCGCGAGGCATTACGACAAATAAGCGAAGCAAATTTGTTTTATGCTTAAGACTAAACAGTATGGAACCTCCCTTTCTAGAACATACGATATCGACCCTGATTTATACAGACACACAGAGGCCTAACAATACCGTGCAAATCAATATAACAAGAAGCATACAAGAATTCTATGGCCAGAAGTTGCACCTCAGCAGCAGCCGGGTTAGACTGCTTGGTCACATTATTTCAATTTTATAAGCGAGCGACCACCTACATCCATTCTAAACAAAAGTCACCTAAGACAGCCCTGTAAGTTTATACCCACTTCTTAGCCCATCTCTACATAGCCTCAAAACAATAAGTCGGCAATGTCACGAGGCTCAAAAATGTCACTGCGTCGCCGAAGCCGGCAAAATAAACACCAAGTCAGCAATGTCAATAGACATTGCGAAGCTGTGCAAGGTCGCAGCCAACCTTAGAAGGAGGTGAACAATTTCAGTGTACTCCCAACTCGGCAGACACGCAAAGGCAATCCTTCTCACCCCACACATTCTTCTGTCACCAACGAGAAACGGAAACGCCAGACTGCACTGCAGCCCAACTACGCATCGGAGACACTTTCCAGGCACCACGACCCGACCTTCCGCCGCTCGAGAACGAGACGAGAATAGGAAAGGACGGCCCCGCACCTGGACGAGGCAGCGCTTGCAGATGCCACCCTTGACGAGGGACTTGGCGACCCAGCGGGCGGCGTATGCGGCAGACCGGTCCACCTTGGTCGGGTCCTTGCCTGAGAAGGCGCCACCCCCGTGGGCCCCCCAGCCGCCGTACGTGTCCACAATGATCTTGCGCCCCGTCAGGCCCGCGTCTCCCTGGGTGGGCAACGAGAACGAAGGAGAGTCAAACAACGGGGCGACCAACCGGAGAGAACCTTCAACAAAAGTTGGAAATGCAGAAGTCGGGACAGAGGGTAGACGGCATTCGTTACACTTTTGACTTGATGCTAAAGCGTCGGGTGTAATGCTAAACTTGATGGGGGCTGGACGGGGACTTCCCCAATGGCAATGTCTTTTTTTTTTTTGTTTTGTTTTGATCAATTTTGGTGGAATTGAAACAGTAAGAGTATATGTATTTATAAACAAAGACTCTGCCTATCCTTTAAAAAAAGTCTGGCCCTAAATCGAGACGTTTCACACACACTGCAATAGAGCAAAGACGAGAGGAGACTCAAGAACTATACTACGTGTCACTAGTTGCGCGCAGCGCCGGTGAAGACAACGCTAAGCAAAGACAGAAAGGGCAAGCACTAGGAAGGTGGGATATGAGAGAAGGGCAAGGAAAGAAATGGAGGGCACTAGAAGCATTAGAGAGGAGAGGAGGTTTCTTTCATCCTCCCCAGTCTACCTCGTTTGGTGTTGCCTTCACTTGTACTGCACGCAACTAGTGACACGGAGTATAGTTGCTATTCGCAAGTCCAGCGCGCCGCTCGCCCTCCCGCGGACGAACGGAGAACCAGAGGAGCGGGGACGGCAGCAGCGGCGGCGGCGCGGAAACGATGGCAGGGAGCCTTGATGCATGAACCCGTTTTAACGAAAAAAAGTGAGCGCGTTAAAAAAAGAATTCTTGTGCTCCGCCTTGCAACTGCCTTGCACGAAGGACCGGGATGTCTAATTTCATTAGGGACTTTTCGTGGATCGCATACACTGCGGATTTCTGGTCTTGTGCATGGCCGCCAGCTCAATCTGTGCTCAACGTGACGTCGGCAAAAGCTCCCGCTATTAATGTAGAGCTCTATAGTACGGTCTACGGAATGTCTATTCTTTGGCATAAGTAGGAAAAAACTCGTCGCGCAACGGTATGTCGAGCAGTATAAATCGGGAATTGGTTCGCGTTTTAAGGTCGTTACAAGGAACAAGACGATTTATTCCAAGCACTTTAAAAATACGGAATACCCGTACTTGCTTTCAGGTAATTATAAAGAAAAAAAAAGAAATGCTCGAGGCAATTTAAGCGCATCTGTGTTAGCCAGCCGTTCGTGACGAGAGCTTAGAATGCGAGTTTTGGCCAAAGGGACCGCAATGTAGCAAATAACACTGTACAAGAAATGTACGGTATATTAAAATATCCATTTTTAATAGAGCAATAAATAAAGACCCTAAACACGCCAATTATGTTAATAGGCAGTTTTTGCAAAGCGTACGGCACCCCTAAACTTCAGTTGGACGTACAGCGCACTGACGTTCAACCGGCGCTACCAACTTTCACGAGCGGCTTGATAGCCGAGTTGTACAACTTATTAAAATAGTTTAAGTAAATGTAAATGGCTGTAAAAATAAAAAAAATAATCGGGGTTTTCTTGGCTTCACTGCGAAACGTTGGTGTTTTTTGTTTTTTTTTCCTGTACTTTATGATGCACACTTTAGCTGTTTAATATCTTATACTGCGCCGTCATCAAGCCTCTCGTAAAAGTTGGGGCCGTCAGTTTGACGTCAGTGGGCTGCACGGCGAACTGAAGATTTGGAGTGTCATATATGTGACAAGAAGTGTAAAGACTACAACAATTTTTTTTTTTTTTTTTTTTTTTTTTTTTTTTTTTTTAGAGTGATGAGCACGGCAACGCCTAAAGGTGCTCCAAAACGGCCTAAGCCGTTTTGGAGCACCTTTTGGAGCAGCCAAAACGGTGTTTTAGAGCAGCAAAAGTGGCCTTTGGAGCAGCCAAAACAGTGTTTTGGAGCAGCAAAAGTTGCTTTTGGAGCAGCCAAAAGAGTGTTTCGGAGCAGAAAAAGTGGCTTTTGGAGCAGATATCCTTAGAAAAATAAACATATTCCTTTTAAGTGCTGGACGAACGAAGGACACTTCGCTCGTCGCAATAAACAAATTATGGTCAAGTTCGACCACCTGGGAATCTTTCAACACGTAACTGAAATGCCAATGACATGACACATTTTGCAATGCTTCAGTTAAAATATGCATATATATGTACCGTTAAGGGGGGACATGGGCCTAAATTTTAAATTTTTTTGAAAAAATTCATTTTTCAATTTTGATGTGTTTAGTTTTAGAAACTAATTATACACCCTTACACCAAATTTGATAACCATATGCCAAATATTTACATTGATATAAAATATTTTCAACACATTGTGAGGCAGTAACAAAGTAAAGGAGTTCAATGTTTGAATGCATTTTTCTCAGTTCCACTTTTTGCTGCAAATTTCATACGAAGGAATCTTTTGTTCGAAGGTGAAAGTATTCTAATACCACAATCAACATGTTTCTGAACTGAAATTTACTGGGGAATCGGGCTATCTACTTTATTTGGTTTTAAGTTGAAGTCCTCAGTGATAAAAAACTAAGTTTTCAAAAATTGACATAGAACAGATATGCATCTCATAGTTTGAGGTAACAACTTTTCCTAAAATTTTTACATTTAAGTTATTAAAACTAGATAGCCCGAGGTCCCATATTCCTTACTTTATATTCAACCAGTCAAAACGGTGCTTAATAGCTTCATTTGCATATCATAGATTTCTTAACGAAGAGTGACACATCACCTTATGCAGCTATGTAAATTTGCCCTAGAGAGCTGAAAGTTTGCACAGTACACCTACATCTGAAGCTAAATCTTCCCTGCAAATTTCATTCCGATCTCTCGAGTAGTTCAAAAGTTCGACCTCTAGCCAGTGTCCCCCCTTAAAGATAAATAAGAACCGAATTGCAGATAATAAAATTTATTTGAAAATGACCAGCTTATTAGTAAATATCACAGCATTAGGTTGACTACCGTAGTTATATAATATAATAAATGGAAGCTGTCTCCGACTGATGAAACACGCAACTACTGCAGTGCAATGCGAAATTGTACTCAAGACAAATGTGCATTAAGACTAGCAAGTGCTTTTCGTTTTGCTTTTCTAAACTTTCTTCAAGGCTGCTGCAAGCCTCGCATTGCCTTTGGCTAGTAATGAATTTCCACTTTCAACGTCTCCAAAGAGACATTGATACATCTTACAAGTGAACAGTGCTGTGGGCGTTGCCGAGCAATTTTGAAAAACCGCTTGCACCGTTTTACTGGTTCCCGAAGTGCCAGATTTTCGTCAAAAGTAAGCAAATGTAAAACATTGGGTTGCAAGCGTCCCAGCTGGTGCCTCTGTCGTGCAGTCATGTTCGCATGCACATGAGGGCAACTTCGGCAGGCTTGCATTTGCACGTGCTTCGTCGCGTGAGCGGAGATGGCTGTTCGATCGAAACAGACACCATGCCACTCCGCTTCGTCACCAAGTGGTTCCCAAAATTGTATGCAAAATGTAATTGCCCAGCATACGACAAAAAACAGTCCAGCGGCACGTGCTTGCCAGGCCGGCAGGTGAGGTATAAGATAGACACACAGAAAAAAGAACCTGAGAGAGTCAGGTCAAAACAAGACATCGCGAGTCAGGGTCAAAAAGTGCTTGGAGCGCTTTGTACAGCGACTGAAGCACTCAAGCGTCAACACATGCCCGCGCCTATTGTTGAAAAACCTTTTTTTAAAAAGACGCGAGACGAGACATATGAACGACTGGAGCGTGAAACGAGAGGTGGCGGGAAAAACTATGCAAGACCGGATGGACCATTGATACAGGGTACTTTTTGTTGGGCGGCCGCTTGCGCTACTTAGCTCATGCATGCTCAATTACGGTAGTCAGTTTAGTTTCGGTTTTGAAAGACGACCAAAATTAGTCTTTTGGCGCAGGCTTGGCGTAGATCACCCATTTTTTGGCAAAATGTAGCAGGATGTAGCAGGGTTAGTCCCTTGGCGCAGTTTGGCGCAATTGGCGCAGCAATCACATCACTGTGCTCTTCCGAAGCTTGACGGTCACAGTTCGCGGCTCTCTTTTTAGAGCTCTAATAGCCAGACGATGTGCAAAAATATCTTCATCACCCTCAAAAATATTCTGCCACAAACAGTAACATGGCTGGAGCCTAAAACGCGCTCGCTCACCACAAATCTTCACAAGTTGAGGTTTCTACAACTTTTTAACAGCAGCATGCTCGTTTTCCTAACGTTCATCAGCATCTCTGTCACCTGTAACATGATCCCCCCCTAACCGCTTTGCACTTTTAGACAAATTAATCATTTTTAGCGTACTGAACAGCGCCAGCGAGCAGGCGCATGGGATACCCTTGAGAATCTATCCCCGTCTCTTCCGCCATCTTGGAACTACCGCCCCACCACCTATAGGGCGTTGAAGTTGCGAATACTATGTCCCTGTGCTTGTTTCATTTCTTGTTCCTAGGTGCTACACCTTGTGTCACACTACATTCTTAAAGACAACACTATATAACTGAGGCATTCAATGGCTATGTGTATCAGTAGCGAACGACTGTCTAAAGCCCCTCAAACACTGGGACGAAAAAAGAGGGGGGCCTTGCTCACCATGGGTCCTGCCTGGACAAACTTCCCACAGGGGTTGATGTGGTACACTGTTCGTCGGTCCAGGTACTTTGCGGGGATGACGGCCTTGATGACCTTCTCCATGACCTCCCGGCGGAGGTCCTCCAGGGAGATGTCCTCAGAGTGCTGGGTCGACACCACCACCGTGTGCACCCGGATAGGCACCGCCTTGCCGTGGTCAAAGTAGTACTCGCACGTCACCTGCGTCACACACGCACAAGGGGTTCCGGGACTTGGCAAAGGCACTTCGGCAGAGAAGAAACGTGCACATCCCCTCGAAGTGTGCCGCAGACAAGTTCCCTACAGTCGTTCCACGCTTTCACCACCGCTCCGTGTTCATTCACAAGCGGATAGCGATAATTCTGTTTAAACATGTTGCTGTATATCCAGAGCATTCATATTATTGCTTCTTATCCCCCATCCAGTCCTTCTCATGAAGTTGAACTGCAGTTTGTTTCACAGTAAGCACAGCCAAACCTACAAGCCTGTTGCCCTACACAACGCTCGCACTACACGAGCGTGCATGCATGGCAGGGCCTCTGAAAACCCGGACCCTGCTTCCGTAGCCAAAGAGTGCTGCTCATTTAGTTTGCCAACAGCTGTTTTGGTCACTCTTGGAGGCATCAAGTCGGCTCTCCTTATTGTCGAATAGAGTCTCTTGGTTTCGGTCATCATTGGGGGCATGTCCCTTCGCACTTCTGGCTTCACTTCTGGTGGCGTGATGTCACATCCAGAAGCTTCCTACCTCCATGGCAGACACAGACAGAAGAGATGGCGGAAGGGGAAGTGGCATACGCGACCACCAGCTAGATCCAGAATTCAAAGTTCCGCGATCACTCACTACAAATGGGAAGCCAAAGAATCCAATCCAATCGTCTATTTTTTCCAAAACGAGACCTCAGGGTTCGACAGAAGTTCCCGAAGCACATCTTGTTCTTGTACCTCGTGTTCAAACAAAGCTGTCCAATTCCCACACAATGGCCTGCACGAACCGAGACATTCCTCACCTGAGTTTTGGAGTCGGGGCCCGCCCAGGGGAATGTGCCATCTCTGCGCAGATCTGCCAGCTGCCTGTTCAGCTTGTGGGCAAGCACCACCGTGAGGGGCATGCACTCCTCGGTCTCGTCCGTGGCATAGCCAAACATCAGGCCCTGCAACCAGAGTCACACCGGGCAAATGAGAGCCACCCGTTAAAAAGCGGCGAGCTGGAAACATACTAAACACCGAAAAAATACTATGGTTTACGGACAGCAAAATGTAGACAGGTTTTCGTACGGTCGACTGCGTTCGTGACTAAGAATATACGAACGAATGAGGAACATAGAAGACAATACAGGCGGCACTTGTTCGAGCCCGTGTTATTTGTATTATCTTCTATGGCACTCTTTCATTTCCATAGAAAGAGGCACCGTACGGCAATAAGTGCACGATGCCCGATGAAGACATTTCATAAATTTAGTGGCACGACGTGACTTGGTAAAAATGGAGTGAACCCGAACATATATTCTTTAAAAAAACTTGTTCTCTCTAATGTTTGCACACTAATTTATCGTGTAGATGCACCTAAGCAGTGCATTCGTTTTGCAAAAAAAATTGAAGCAACAATGTGCCTCAATTAAAAGTTGGAAGTAAAATCAGAAACATACATATGGATCTATTTTCAATGTCAAAGTGAAAAAGCACTTCCAAGCAAAACGGCATTTACACGGAGTAGGATCCAAAGTTTTACTGCTTCTCCCCAAAGTGTTTCTTACAAGTTTTACTCAAAGTAGGCACTACCAAGCCAATGCTGGATCATGAAACTTCCCACTTCAGTAATAGATATGTCAAAGACCGCGCCACGGAAGAAATAATGCGCAACCAGAAAGAAGGAGAGTCTTCTATTTTCGCTGCAGTCACCGGCAGGGCAAGAAGTGCAAGGCACCTCCTTCAGATGCCCAGATTCAAGCGTGCACGCTATCCTTAATGCTCCGGCTGAGCATGCACACTCAAAGTTCACGAGACGTCATAGCGCTAAGGCAGAACAACCAAAAGACCTCCCAGACGTTCAGACCCTGTCAGAGCGTTAGCAACCCTACCTAGGCCACACGAATGAAAAGAAGTAGAGAAAGCAGGGCCGGGGAGAGATCTTCAGCACAGCCGAAAACTACTCTCGAAGCCAGCGATCCGAAGCAAGCGAACGCGCACGGTGCCCAATGCCGAGAGCCATCTCCGTCTCACCTGATCTCCGGCTCCGATGTCTTCCTCTCGCCTCAGCTGGTGCACTCCGGCGGCGATCTCTGGACTCTGTTGCTCTATGGCTACGAGCACGTTGCACGTCCTGTAGTCAAATCCTGGAAACAAGGCCGGGGAAAGGGAGATTAGCCTTCTTCTCTCACGGGAGACTGATCTCAAAGAGAGTCTGTTCTCCTTTCAATTTGCCTTGGGAACTGTGTCCCCAGTAGAGGGGGAAAAAAACAATTCTTCTCGTGGATTTTTATACTTTGCTCAAATCTAGCGAGTACATGCCTTTCTGAATGTCTCAGTAATAATTTAGATCTAAGATATCTCTTCACGAACAAAAAATATGCCAAAATATGGCATCTAAATGTCACTTCTTATGGGCAAGTGTTACTTCTCATTGAGGAGTTTTAGAATAGCGTCATAGCCACTTTGCAGGTGACAAACGCTAACCGTGGCTTGCACTTTGCGTGCACAATTTTTATAAATTCCGTGCGTACATGAAGAGTCTTTGCACTCCTCCAAGGAGAATTTGTGACGAGTTTTTGTTGGCTAAAGCCAAGAGAAGCAATGACAAGAGCTAGAATATGTCAGCTCCAGGACCGCGGCTGCCGCCGCTGTGGCGATTGTGAGTACAACGTCGGCGGCATCCTTGTGACTGCGATTTTCAATGGAGGACGACATTGCACGGAAGTTATACGTTGCAGACGGTTTGGAAGACTTAGCAAGGTGGGCAACAATTGCTGGCAATATGCTGCTCGTGACGTCTGAACATTTCGGCGAAAGTCAGTACACTATAGCTCTCTTGCCAAAACAATGCAAGTGAACACGACCGGTAGACCGCTCATGTAGTATTCTCATATTTAAACAAATCTAAAATGTTACTCTGGACCCAAAATCTTATTGTTTTTTTTTCTCAAGTTACAGCACTATGTGCGTGAAATAAAAATTGTTAATAAGTCTTGGTGGCGCTTCAAACGCAAGAGGCTTAGGCTTTTGCGCCATGGCAGAGAAACGCTATTCTAAAACTCTCTAGCGTAGCATGCGCTAATACAAGTGCTAAATTTAGTGCTAAAATTATGTACATTATTCTAAAATGCTTATTAGGGGGACGATACAACAATTTCTGTACTCTCCGCAAGTACCGCTAAGAATGAATCCCTCACGTTAATGACCTATGAAACACAAGTTTGTTTTTCACTACACGCTAGAAGTCACAAAAGAAAATTAAAGAAAATCAAGCAACGTTAACACCCTCAACTAGCAGCCAGAACAAAGAGCCACGTGATCTGGAGCCGATTAAATGCTGCCAATGTTAATCATAGCTATGCGCTGGGGTTGGCAAAGCACATGACACACGCTAAGTTACAGAGATTGCTATGGTTCGGCTATTGTCGTTATTGCAGCGATTGGACACAGGCCACTATATGAATGCTCATCGAGCTATTGATTATCACGAGCCCAAATCGAGTGCTCACACAATATGACTCAAGTGGAGAAGGTTTTGTTTAAACTACTTGGCGATTCCCAACAGACCACCAAATGTGCCAACGCTAATACAATGACCATAAAGGTGTTTTATTCTTCTTAAAAATAGCTACCGAAAACAAAACAAAAATTCTAAGTGAGCATTTCAAGAATCTAAATTAGGAGCCACACTGAACTAACCAAGTGTCCCCTCTATTGTGCAGGCAATAGTAGACATAATGACAGTGACTTACTGCTGCCTAACATGTCAAAAAACACCAATTCAATTCAACCTTTTCACATGTTTAGTGAAAAGAGGTGCAGATTCCAAGCAACTAAAAGACACAAAAAAAAAAAAAAAAAAAGGCTTGAGGTACACCAAAGCACTTCTTGTAAGTTGTGAATGCGAAAGCATGCACGCCACTCTTCGCTCCATTCTTTATCCTGCGGTGTACAACGCGCTGACCTTGGACATGGAACAGTGGAGCCACTGCCTCGTGGACACGCAGCGCCATCGCGTTCAAACTGTTTTGTGCCTTGCGGCGCGAGAAAGAAACATACGGCAATGTAGTTCCCAGCAGAATGAACCGCTTGGTTTATTCAATGCGCGGTATATATTGCCACGCGCGGTACAACCAATAAGAGGCAAACAAACAAGGTAATCAGTGATAACACGGTCAGGACGACACCACACAAACTGATGCGCAGCGGCCAATGGGAGCCTCGTCAACGTGAGCCAGCCAATGGGGCGGAAGTGTAAAAAGTGCCGTTGGCCAGCCTTGCACGTGGTTTCATTAAGGTGCCGTTTTGCATCATTTCAAAGCTGATGGCGTCGGCTCGCTCCATGAGACAGTTAATGCTTTTGCATTAATAAAGTTACCCTGATCTGCTCCTGCGTTAGCGCTGCAGACTTAAAGCCAATTTAAAATAAATAAATTAAATGAATGTTCAAGCTTAAAAAGAATGTTTTCTTTTAAATTTTATTTAGGAGAAAAAAAAAGCTCTACAAGCCATCAAAGCCAATCCAAGGCCATGGGAGTGTTACATGACCTTGGAGAGGGGGCGCAATGATGCGCAGAGAGCCTATCATGTGCTATGTTCAGAGGGCTGGATTTGCTGGGATGGCTCGTAGCGTCCACTGTGATCGGACGTAAGCTGGAAAGGAGCATTTACTCCGTTCACCGTCAAAGGCCGATGACCAGACATGAGATTCTGCAAGGCAGGGCATCCTCCTCACCCTGGGGGAGGAGGAAATGGGCAACGGTGGACTTGGTAGAAGGGGGAGATGAGGAAGCAGGGGAAAAGTGGAAAGTGCGAACTGGTCGTTGGTCTTTAAGCTAGTAGTGCAGTGTACACTATGTGCTCGTTGAACCCGTCGCGCGTCTATCTCACCACGTGATAGAGCTCTCGCCCATACCTATGCAAACAGAGCGGGCCAGGTGATGAAAGGGAAGCGGTTGAGTGGATTGGCGGGCGCACAGCTCCCACCACACTAACAGCTTAGGGGTGAACAGAGTATAGTGGGACCTCAGCCAAGGAACAGGCCAGGTCAGCAATTAGAAAGAGAGGCAGAGAGAATATTAGACAGTCTGGTAGCAAAAACAAATCTTGCCTTTGGTGCTGCAGTCGTAGCCGATTTTCTTCACTGCGTCTCTTGCCACCCGCTGATAGTCCACCACGGCGTTTGACGTGATCTCCCCAAACAACATAATCATTCCAGTTTTAGTGGCAGTTTCTAAAAAGAAAAAAATCAAGCGAGTTTAACATTTCTGTCTGATAAGAGTGACTACTCTTGCTACGGGCAATTGTTGAGGCACTTTATGATAGCAATATCTGGCCAGTATTAGCGCATGAAATGCAGGGTTCAACCGCAGTTGCACATAAGATAATGATAAAAGAAGCGATACAACAATTCTTGTACTGCGCGGAAATACCACTTAGAATGAATCCCCGATGTTAATGACCTATGAAACACCCGTCAGATTTTTTCAACACAATCAATTAAATAAAAAAAAAGAGCAGCGTTTATTGCCTCATTTTGCAGCCAGAACAAGCGGCCATGTGACCTGGAGCCGATTATATGCTACCAATGTTGATCATAGCCACGCGCTGGGGTTGGCAAGGCACAGGACATGCGCTGAGCTTCAGACATTGTTATGGTTCGGCTATTGCCGTTATAGCAGCGATTGGACACGGGCCACTACAGGAATACTTCTCGATCTATTGATTATCACAAGCCCAAACCGAGTGCCCATGCATTGCTCGAGTCCAATTTATGAGTCGCATTCAAATATCGTCACTGGAGGATACTGTGATCTCCCAGTTACATCATCCAAGTTACGCGAAGGAGAGATTAAATGAAATTGCTCGCTCTTGTACTTGAAATTACACTGCAACAAAAGAGTTTCTTGGCCAGTAGCATTGCATGTGAGCATCCTTGAGTCCCACTAGTGCCAGTAAGCTTGTGTAAAGTGAAAAATATTCTACTTGAATATTGTTGCACGGCCCCTTTAAGATGCTACTTTAGACGCTGCTTTTACCCTACTGTGCTGGCACAAAGTTTTCTGCTCCTTTATCTTTTTCTTTGCTGTGACAGTAAATTCCCACACTTTAAAATTAGCCTTAAGTAGAGCTGTGACAGTGAAGTTCCCAGAATCTACTTGAGGTTAATTTCCTCATGCCACGTTACTAATGCTAGCATAGTTTCCAAAGTACTGCAGCACCACACTACTGCGCGAGCACAGCCTCAACTATCGCCTGCAACTTGTTGCTTCGACGGGCAAATGCTACTCGGCAAAGGTCTGTGCGAGACCCCTCTTGCTGAGGTGGCGCAGGCGGACACTGTCAGTTGACCACTCCCGTCCAATTCCCAATAGTTCTAAACTGTTAAACTAAATTTAAAAAAAAGAAAAAAACAAATATTTTATTTAATGATTTTATTTTGTATACACTATAAAAGCTGCGGCAGCATCTTAGTGGCATTCCAAGTGCGAGATTCTTGTGTTTTGCAATGGGGCAGGAACGCTATTCCAAAACTGCTTTGTGTTTTGGTGCGAAACATGAGTACGCCTTTTTGAAGCTCCGTAGTTATGCGGGTGAATGCACTTAAAAATATTTTAAACAGAAACTTAAAAACATTGAGAGGCACTTGAGGAGCAACAGAGACTTTATAACACAGACGTTTCAGGAGGAGGCTTCCCTTCTCCAAGATGTACCCATTACAGTTGCAAAAAGTTTTAGCATCAGGGTTTTTGTATTTAATACCCCAATACAAAAATGTTCTGCAACTGTAGTGTACACACATTTGAAGAAAAGCCTTTTCCTGAAACGTCAGTGTTAATAAAGCCTCCGTTGTCATTCAAATGTCTCCTCGACATTAATGATGCGAGACAAGAATCACATAGCGGGCAACATATCACCCCCCATAAACAAAAAAAAAAAAAAAACCCCAGCAATATAGAAGGCAACTTAATCACTACTGAACTGGCACAGTTTCAGCCAGCTGAACGGCAAAGCCATGTTTGGCTGGAGTTCTCGTAGCAGATCACCTCCCCTATACCCTTTCTATTTTCGCTCTACAACTTCCGTTGAAACCTGATAAACGAGAATGAGCGCAGAAACAACCACTGGCGGACGCCGCTGGATGCGAGGTGCACACCTGTGCAATATAGTTCTACAGAACACAGCCCGTGTCTCCCTGAAAACGGCCGCTAACAAAACAAATAAAGACTCCCAGCTCGCAACAGCTGCAGTGACTACGTGTACACACACACACTGTGCATCGTGGCACTAATGAGCGGTCCGGTGGTTGTTTACCACTCTTTTGCAGGTTTGGAAACCTGCGCTCAGAACTGCAAGAAAAGAAAGTATGCAGACGAGCTGGTTGTCCGATTCTTTCTTCTCTCAGGGTTTACATTACGAAGTTTCCTGGTCAGCTCACCTGCATACCGAGATTCTGTGCCATTAATTTGATTTTCTTTGTCTCGTGGTTTACATGATGATCTGAAATGCTTGCATAGTGGTACGGGGGTCATCAATAGAAGCAGTAAATTTGGCATACGACGCTAACCCGTACGGGTAACGGGCATCGAAGTACCACATTCATGTTTAGTCTATACCAAGGGTAGCTAAACTGCAGCACAAGCACCTCTTCACAGGGCCAAATGTGGCTCGCGGCTCCCTGGGGGGCGTACCCTCCGTAAGATCAAAAGGGAAGAGATATAGAATAAAAGACTGCTGTAGTTACCAATTGAGATAAAATAGATAGAAAAACAGCCACTCCACAATTTTATGGTGGCTCCCGACTTTAAATATTTCTTTTTTATGGCTTTTTGCATATGTCCTTCTGACCACCCCTGCTCTTTATCATCATGTGTGCTCGGTTTGCCGCATTTCAATGGTGTCTATTTAAATTCATAGAAACAAATGTGGCATATGAGGGTTATTGAATATCACTGTTAAGAAGAGGCACTGCCCTTGAAACTACTAGAGATCTTGTTCTACTTCAAGATATTCTGCATCTAAACTGCCAATATGGCTGCATTTCTCTTGAAGAAAGCATGGTTCTGCCACTCCATTTTTTGGACTCCACTTATTAAGGATAGCAGATGTTACATGTTCATTAACAAGATACAAGAGCCTGGATCCCTGACCTTTGATTAACCCTTTACTTTGAAATGAGAACCGAGAAAAGCACCACTGAAACTTTTGTAGGTCTAAGAAAAGGAAGAATGAAGCAGTAAAAACACCTTAAAGGGTGTACAAAAATGATAACGATGGAATGAATATACTCTTTCAAGGCAGTGAAAGGACGAGCAAATTTATAATATGAGCTTCCCTATCTGCCAGACACAGTATATTTATTCCAGCTTCTTCAGTTAAATGCAAGGACAGCAAGGTATAAATTGGCAATTCGAGCATGTCTACGTGGCTGTACTCCAAAATCTTTATTTCTTGTAACAAAATAAGATATAGAAACGATGGCACTCACATTCCACGAAAGAATGAATAAGAGCAGAATTATTGGCCACTCTATGGTTAAAAGCAACAGAGAACAGAGTAACCTACTCAAGCTATTCCAACAATAGGATACAATGCAACAGATTCATTTAAGAAGTAGACAAGTACAGATTGCTGCTGATCTGTTTTTGAGCAAATTTTCCATGAATGGTTTTATGTATTCTAGCCACCTTCCCAAGTTATAGAGCAACCAGTTTAATCCTATCAAGCTCTTCATTCCTCTGTCGAGAATATCTTTCCTTGGGTGCTAATGATAAAAAGAAATGCTTTCATGAGTTTCAAACTTTTATCACATTTTCAAGAGATCTGCACTGTGCCAATTTCAGTGAAGAGGCATACTATTTGGTGACAGAAGAGGGGCATGTCTTACCGCATGCTACTTTGGCATTGGGATCTTGCTTAAGATGTGCGTCAAGGATGGCGTCACTGATCTGGTCACACATTTTGTCTACAAAGAAAATGGAAGAACACATAAGTGAGGCTACTGTGTCACACTCACATCATGACAAAACAAGCAGCATCCAAATTTATATATGTATTACCAAGTGCTTGCGTGAAATGATGTCGTCTTAACGAATAGTGGTCATAAAGTTTCTCTTAGTTGTGCAAATGCAATTCAGAAAAGGGTAATGTGCAGGCCTAGAGAGAGGTACTATTCGAAAGCGAAATGCACCCCATATTGAGACTGGCATATTTTGCAAGCAATGCAGTCAGCCACAAAGCAATAAGTTCAAACTACGAAAAAATTAAATATGGTAAAGCACAATCCGCAAACAAGCAAGCCTTCCACCAGCTTCAGAACAAGCTGTAAATATAGACTCCTTGAGTCTATTCCTGTCAATCACTATAAACGCCAAGTTCATCATTAAAAAAAAAAAATATTTTATCACGAAGACACTGTTCTCTCTACTCATTCTTGTGCTAAGATGGAGGCACCCTTTAGGAGGGCTCCATGCTGCCCAAACACTCCATAACTTAACACCCAATCATCACCTCAAACACTTCTTCCTTACTACTTCTCCGTATAGCCTTCTCGGACACAGGTCTACTGTGTAAACACATGTGGTACGACAACGATTACGCACGACGACGGTCCCGCTTCGAGGAAAAATGCCGAGTTGAAAGTTTTCCCCGACCTTCAAAACTTAAGGGGTGAGTTTCGCAGGGAGAGGAAGCTCTTATTTAAGGACAGACAAAAACAAACGCGAGGCAGTTAGCTGACGCTTTTATTGCACGCGCAATCGCAGCACCCTTATCTTTCGGCATCTACCAAGTTCCACGGCTCTCTGTTCGCACTGAAGGAGCGAAATCCTTTTATCCTTCGGGGCATGATGAGTCTCTGATCAAGCGTCCAAAATCGACCACTGTTCCACAGATTAACCCTGTGAAGTGAAACAGGCGCTCGAGATGATGAAATCAAGGGTGCGCGAATCGGAAAGAAAAGAAACAAACAAACAAAAAGGAATCGATGCGTTTTACAGCCAGCCACGTGATCAAACAGTCGCGCATCAGCGCACTGACGAACGCCGATCTCTTCGCTCTTTTACGTTCCAGTCTTCTCGAAGAACCGCGGCGATAGCGATAACGGCGCCTGCTCGTTTTCTTTTTTTAATCATTTTTTTTGGTTTTGATAAAGCGCGTGTTTCACGCGAAACTGTTGCAACGCGGTTTCGCCGTGCTTCTGGCGGCGGAGCGCTAACCCTAATCAGCGTGGATTGACCGCCACTGGGAAAACGTGCTACTTTTTCGCGTTCACGAGCCCACCCGCCTCTCGCGCAGTTCTGAAGTGTACGCTGCCCGGCCAGTCCCAAATCAGTCCAGTTTTCACGAACTCGATGAACAGAACGTCGCTATTTCTCTCCTTTTTACCGCTGCTAGCGTATCACTCTCACTTTTATTTGTCCTCAGCATCTCGCTTGAGAAAAAGCGCGGCCTCCTAGTCGCTCCGGTACCTCGAAAGCGGAAGACCGGAGAAAGATCAGCGTGCCCTCGGAGTAAAACCGGAGTTTCGGCAAGAAAACCAGCGAAGCGCCCGTTATGGAAGCCGAGAAAGCGGTATCGAGAAGTTGGGAAGCGCGAATGAACTTACCGGCATGTCCCTCGCCGACCGACTCCGAACTGAACAGAAATGTCTCCAATGAATCATCGCTGAGTTCTTCGTTGTCGTGAACGTCGTGCACAGCTTCCCCGTTGGTGATAACGTGGTTTCCTACGTTATTGTTCAGTGCCATGATTGAACTCAGGCCTGACCCTGTATCAAGCCTGCGCCGACGCTACGATTGAGGATTTGAGAGGCGAAAGCGAGGGTGTACGCTCCTTTATATAGCGTGACGCTCGTAGTCACGTGGTCCCAAGCTCCTCCTTTCATCGAGTGGCGCGACGTTTGACTGGGCGGAGCAGAATGAATGAACTCTGCGCACAGGTGTGACATTTCCTTCGGATCTTGATGTGTTTTATTTATTTATTAATTTTTTTGCGACGACTGAATCGTGCAGTAATTTTCCCAGCTCCATCCGCTCGTTGCACTCGATGCACCGGATTTGAGAAATTAATTCCCGCTGACATTCGACTTCGACGGAAATGAGATGTCCATAGCTATAACATCCCCCGCTCCGACAGAATTGTGCCCATGCTTTACCAGATGTAATGTGCGGAAGATTTATACGAATAGTAGCCCTCCAGAACGAAACAAATTGCGAGCCCCGTTTGATGCATCTACTCGTTCGTTGCGGTTCCACTCATTCAAAGACTCCAAGATACCGAACTGAAAAATGGACGTCGAAAACACATGTTCCATTTTCGCATGGCACTAGACACACACACACACACACAAAAAAAAAAAAAAAAAAAAATTCATTTTGTAAAAAAAAAAAAAGTCTACAACTGTATTTTATTCGTTTAATTTTCCAACGAGTTCTAATCACGACTGTGATCAAGAGTAAGGTCACAGCAAGACGACGGAAAAATAAGACGAATCCCAAGGCCCGACTGACAAAGAGGGAGAAAGAGAGGTCATAATTAATTACACATGTTACAGCCGCAGCACGCCTTTGGCTTCACACCTTTCATATACAGGGTGTCACAAAAGAAAATTTACACGGTCTTTTTTACCGTAAAAATAAACTAGGCATCGCCGAACGCTCATTCTCCGCCCAAAGGTAGAGCTAGAGGTCACAACCATATGCCAAAGTTTCAGCCCGATCCGATAACTTAATCAAAAGTTATAAGTGATTTTCTGAAAAGTTCAATGGGAAAATGGAGCCCATTTTTGCCAGTTTTCGGTTTCTGGTGCCATACAACCCCATGTGTTTGAAAACTCCGTCGGCCGCCATTTTCCCATTGAAATTTTCACAAAATCGCTTATAACTTTTGATTAAGTTATCGGATCGGGCTGAAACTTTGGCATCTGGTTGTGACCTCTAGCTCTACCTTTGGGCGGAGAATGAGCGTTCGGCGATGCCTAGTTTATTTTTGCGGTAAAAAAGACCGTGTAAATTTTCTTTTGTGACACCCTGTACACAGGCTACAACAGATGGCTTGCTGTGGTTTGCCTCATGGCAGCCCCTTGCATCGACGGTGCAGGCAGCCACCATCCGTCTGCTTTGTCGACCCCTGGCTCCTGGTGGAAGCTCCTCCCGCCCCTTTCCACTTCAGCGGAGTGAACGGTGGAGAGGAGGCCGCCTTCTCTCCAGCTTTTGCACTACTAAAGTAGAAAGGGGTGGGAGGAGCTTCCACTTCTTTCTTGACCTGTCACCGACAATAGTGGATGCTCCCCGCCTCCAGCCCCTCCTCACCCGAACAGCAAGACATCATGGTTCTTCGTGGTTGCCTCGTGCTGTAGCACTGTGGCGACAGCTGCCCTCCACTCTCACACAAACATTTCTCCTTGATTGCCACGTCCTTGGACCTATTCTGAAGGCTGTGCAGCACGTGTAATGAACTCTGACATACCTTCCCCCCCCCCTCTCTCTCTCTCTCTTTTTTGCGCGTGTCTGTGTGCAATAATGGGCCCAAGGTTGGGACCGCAAGCCTTCGTATACGGGCATCACTGCCTTTTGCGACCCTGTGCGTCTGTATCAACCCCGCCAAAGTGCGAATAAAGTGTTATTATTATTCTTATTATTATTATTGTGCATCCTTAGAAAATGCAAGCGTTTAAATATGGTTGTTTCCATAGTCTGTTGTCAAGAAAATACATTTCAAACAAAGATATGTTTTATGAGCAACCATGGAATCGCAGGGCACGGATTTTATCATATTTGAACTCCTTACCTGAGACCGGCAAAGGTCTCAGATAAGAAGTCTCGACCTCTGGTCTCAACAAAGCCCACAGGCCTTGTAGGCCGGGAAGTTTGATTAGCGGAATCACGTGACAAAGCGTTGTTTAATCTCCAAAGATGTAAGTGACTTTTCCTGGGTTAGGCCGCGCGCCACGTCCGCGTTTCAGGTTCAGTTGGTTTTTGTGTAAATTTGATCGAAGTAATAACTGTCAGCGGTCGTGCGGAGCGGACGTGTTTTTGATCGACTTACGAAGGTTAAGTGCCCTTTTGTCTTGTCTACATGGCGCAGTAGAGGTAGTTTGAAATAGCCACTGGATAAGGATTTAGAATTGCGTAGACGGCCGGGCAGGCCATTGGAATATAATTTCGAGCGGGCTTTGTTTAGATTTCGGCGGACTTTTTCTTGGTGAGAGACACGGGACTTTCAGTAACTAGCTCAGCTAGGTGATGGCTCGTAAGATCAGGAAGGCTAAGGGGGGTATGGACATGGTAGTGTGGGGATTGTTAGAGTCACTAAATGAAGCTACGCTTTCAGAGTACCGAAACTCCCAAACTACGCGTCTGAAGCGCGTCAGGCGCCGCCATCTTGGGTCCACGCGCAGATGGAAGAGCGCCTGAGCCAAGCCGAGCTGTAGCCGTCGCCTGCGCCAGTTGCCGTAGCCGCAGCTGTGGCAGCGAATCAAGGTCGTGTTGTTCGTATCTTGACATAAGAAGGAAGAAGTGCGTGCTGAGAGACGGACTTCAGCGTGCGCGCGCAGTAAACAGTAAAACAGCAGCAGGCAGAAGCAGGCAGCGGATCGCTGGTGGCTGGACCCAAAATGGTGGCGTTGAAAAAAAAACGCGATGATGATGATAGCGACTCACGTGACTGCCACTCTCCAATGATGCTGCAGCGAACCAGAACATTGTTGAATAGAGCGACTGCACTGCCGGCAAAGTGCCAAATAGTGCCACTAAATAAGCTACGCTTCAGAGTAACGTCACTTGGCCATATTGTGTCTTAAAATCATGGTTGCCAGTTATCTGAAGCTTTATCTGAAATCACAGGAAGCGCTTTTCCGCTCTCCACAAATGTTCAAACAGTTCGCGGCAGAGCAAAGCAATGTTACATAACCTTTCTAACACCGAACCGAATGCCGAGGAAGTCGCACTTTTGAATCATGACGATCGGCAGTTGCGTCTGCTCTGCATACGAGCCAAAATGGCGGCGCCCACAACAATGTCGGGGAACGGAGTGCCGATACTCTAAGCGTAGCTCATTTAGTGGCTCTAGTGCCAAAGAAGAAGAATGCGGTACTCTGAAAGCTTAGCTTATTTAGTAACTCTAGAGATTGTAAGCGGAGAGTTTTTACTTGGAGGAGTCTGACTTCTACATATGGTATTCGGGCCACTTCCGGCCGCCATGACAGGGAGCCGAAAACACTTCCGCAATGAAAGACGTCTTCTCTTATGTTTCCCGCATCCACTGGCTTCTTGAAGTGCTGTAATGCTTTGCAATTGATTAGGCAACTTTGCTTTGGCAGATCTCCGCGAAATGAAAGATGCAGAGGAGCCGCGGCGGCGGCCGTCGAGTACGAACAGCGTCTGCGACGCACGCGTCGATTAAAAATGCACACATCTGACTCCTCCGGACAGTGAATATACTTGATCGAACGAAACACTCGAGTTGTTATGCAAATAAAGATTAATTAAAATATTAATTAATATTCGCCAAAAAAATTATTTTAGCAATGCAGGTTTTCATAACACAAACCAGCTATTTATCGTCTTTTTTTTTTTTTTTTTTTAAATCTTATAGCAGAATTACTTGCTGACGTTAATTTTTGTGTGCGTGCGAGCCAATGAACAGATGGTTTATGCGTGTCCTGATCAAACTTCAACAAAAACTAACAAACAAACTAAAAAAAAAAGTAAAAAAAACAAAAACACGTGGGTTTTGGGAACCTGTGTCAGCGGTGAACTTCAGAACGGGAGGGATCTTTTCGCGTGGAACCGAGCCTGGGGTGCGGTTCAACGTCGATTTCAGACACGTCAATTTCGAAGTTCGAGAGTCAGAATGTTTTTCTTTTCGGCGTGTGACCAAGGGTCTTTTCGTGACACGATCAAAGTAAGACGTGAGGCACAAACCACTGGGACCAGCCTTTCGATTTTATTACTCGCTCACGCCGTCAAACAAAACAGCGCTTCTGTGTCTGCCCAAACGGAACAGTTCGAACAAATATGCCCCCATACGAGAGTCGCGCGATCGCAACAAGTCGGACGCGAAACTAGTTTTCTTACGGTGAACAACATAGAGGTCGAAAACCGGACGCCACGAAGAGAAACGTGTCATCCGGTTTTCGTCCTCTATGCCATCCTCCTCTAACACCGTAACTTAACCAGCACGCTCCATTTCCAAGAGACTAGTTTTCTTACCTTATCGCCTGGATTCTAGAATTAAAGATTGACTTTTGAGCATATTTTTAACGCGCAGGCGATACAAACCCTAGCAACGGCGCTCACGCCGGATTGGCTGGTTCGTGGAGATAGGCACTGCCGCCGTCATCATAAGCAGTGGTTGTAATGCGAGTTTCCGAAGCGGTAGCGTAACTTAGTTGTGAGATACCTGCCTCATACGTAGCAGACCCGGGTTCTATCCACGGTGTGGACTTCTTTTTTTTTTTCTCGAACATTTTGTTTTGTCGAGACATTTGGCGATATTTACGACATTTCTTTTTAACGATTAACACTGAAAAAAAAAATGTTGTCGACGAAACATTGCTGAACTAAATCGTATGGGGCTCTATTTATGGATGTGCATGGGGGACAGCGGGGCTTGGGTTGCCGGCTGCAAAGCGGCGTGTACGGTGGTAGAATTGGGGGGGGGGGGGGGGGGGGGGGGGGCTCTAAGTGGGTTAATAGTTTTGTAATTAGCAGCCGCACACTGTCGCCGCGAAGCGGCGTGAACGCAGCCTGGGGGGGGGGGGGGGGGGGGGGAGGGTTATATACATGGCGCTGTCCGAATCTGAAATTTAAGTTCCCGCGCGTTGCCGAGCAGCCAATCCGGCGTGAGCGTCGTT